CGGAAGTGTGGCAACAGGGCTGGCTCATGGAAATGCTGCTTTATTTAGGAACGAGTGTCTGGCAGCACAGTCTGTATTTACAAAAAAAAAAAAAAAAGCCTTTTCCTCAAGAGATTCAAACTTGATGCAAAAATATCCAAGAACCCCTACATGCACAGGCTATGTGTTAAAGCATTCCCATGCACAGTGGGCTTTGAGTGTCTGTGCTCTTGCAGGAAAAGGCGCAGATCAGGAGGGAGGAGAGAGCTAAAAGGCGGCGGCGACTGGAGGACATCAATACCCTGAAAAGTATGGGCTACCCAGAGAGAGCTGCTCAGATAGCTCTTCAGAAGACACAAGGAAACCTGGACAAAGCCTTTAAGGTAAGTGATTTTTCAGTAGAAGTAGTGTTGTACAAAATAAATCTGGTTAGTTTTTTTTTATTGTTTAGCAGATTCTTATTTTTTGTAGTCTACATTTTTTAGTTCACAGTTACCTTTTCTGAACTGTACTGACTGAACTTGCACTTCCTGACCAGTAAATCAGATATCATTTAAGTTGGCTGAGGTTTGCTTATATCAACGATTGGGCTGCATACACAACTGTGCTGAGGACTGTTGTAGCTCTGTTGCTCTATTCTGATCTCTCTCTGTTTTCTTGCAGTTTATTCTTGACAATCCTGAGTTACTCTTGGAAGATGATGATGATGATTCTGTGGCCATGGACCAGTTCCAGGTTTCCCAAGAAAGTATTGAGCAAGTAAGCTAGACCACTTGGTTTCTTGTGAGTTGGTTGTCTTGCTTCTGAGTTGTGCTTGCAAAGACAGCAGATTTCCCTGAAGTAGAGCTCTACAAGTATTCTTGGACCCATGTTCACTCAGGCTGTCACACTCCAGGGTCTGGAATCCACTCACTCTTCACGATGAAGTCACTGGGGCTAACATGTAATTTGTGTGTACTTCCTGCCCATTGCACCAACCTGCCATGCATGGATGTGAAGGGAAAGTGTGTGCACTGTAATGCTCTATCCCAAAAAAGACAGCAAATAAGACATTTATTCAAGTCTGTAAACTCTGCAGTGCACAAGGGAAAGAGTTGGAATGTGTATTTCTCATGACAGGCTGTCTGACAAGCCAGTAGTTAGAGTGGCTGTGTAATTGATGTCAGGCAAGAAAACTGTATTGCCTAGGAAAAACACATGCACCCCTCAGATACACTGGAGTGCTTTGAAGTTTTCTTTTGAAAACAGTAAAAGAATTGGTCTGGTGCTAGACAAGAGCCTCTTGATCCTGCTCAAGATCCCCATGCCTTTAATAGGTCACTGCCCTGTTGTTAACTGTTCCAGTAAACCAGAGTCAGTGTCCTGGAATTCCTGGCATGCAGCACTTCTCTCTGTGTGAGATGACTGTCGGAGGCAGAGTTGGATTCCTGTCAGGCCCTGGTGTCAGATGGATTTCCCGATTTTCTGTATTATTCCTTTTTCCCCTCCTGCAGCTGACGTACATGGGTTTCAGCCGTGAGTCAGCAGAGCAAGCTTTAAAGGTCTTCAAAGGGAACATCCACGTGGCTTCCCAAACCCTTGCTCATTATGGGGGAGTTCTTCCCCCTTCACTGCTGCTGTCCTCAGAAGGATCCAGTCCATCAGAGGAATCCACTTCTTCCAAGGACCTGCTCACGGAATCTGCAGGTGAGAATGTTGCATCCAGCAGGATGGGGAAGGGAAGGCTGTTCTGGCTTTTGTAGGAAATAGTTAAGCAATTTCTGCTGAAGTAGTGGCACAGGGCTGCAGTAATGCTCCAGGCTGTTTTTATTGGGAACACAGGAAGTTACAGGAAGGCAGCTGTTGTTCCCTGCAGTGACAGCCACAAAGGAACCAGAGGAGACAGGTACCAACTGCAGGCAGGTGCAGCCTAGGACAAAAGGTGACACTCAGGGTGTCCTGGGCAGGGCTAAGGAGTTTATTCCAGCCCTGTGCTCTGCAGGTGGCTGACCTGCCTCCATTCTCCTTCATCATGTCCCTCACAGAATAAAACCATAATTGAGAACTTTCCTCTTAACAAAGAAGAAACTTGCACATACTTTTTCTCTCATTATTTGTCAGAGCTGCAGTGATGGCTGCTGTATAATTAAAGGCTTTCCTACAGCACATTTAAATAATAAGGACAAATGGCCATCCTGCCTCTGTGCTTTGCAGAGTAATTGTAAGAGGTGGTTGTGCAGGAAGGGGCTGGCAGAGCAGCCACGCTGGGGAAACAGGGAGAGCACCAGCTTCTTTCATTGGTGAATTCACTGCTGCTGCTTTTTATTGGAAGGTTCCTCTAGTTCACCAACAGATGAAGACATGGAGACTGATGCAGTCAATGAAATCCTAGAGGATATTCCTGAGCATGAAGAGGATTATCTGGATTTAACACTCGAGGAAGAAGAGCAGATAATTCATGAATACTTATCCTATATACAAGTACTGCAGCACTAAATCCCATTAAATCTACTTTAGTTATATGTATTTACCTTGTCAAATTGAGTTTGGATTATAAATGCACCTTCAGCTTATCTCTTTACTAAGGGCCTTGAATTTGGTTAAACTATAGTTGGAATACTTAATTCCTGCTTATTTGTAACTCTGCTTAAAGCCTACATTTGTGATACATTGTAATTTTTTGTCATAGAAAAATAGAAACATTTATTTTCAGAAGAAAATTTAATAGAACTAAACTATATTTTTATTGTGAAATAAGTTAACTCAGTAAAGAAGCATTTCTATACCATTTCAAAATACCAGCTTTAAAAGAAAAGCATGAGTTTGTAAATGAGAAACCTTAACTCATGAGGCTGTAGAGGTATATCATCTTTCCAACTTTTCTTCTGAAAGATTTCTAAGAGGCATTAATGTATCTGTTGTGCATGAGTTTATACCGTGTTCTGCTTGTCCCTTCCTAGAGGTGTTACACAGGCAATAAAGGTAACTCTGTGCTGCTTCTGCCTTTGGTGAGAGACCTCTGTGCTTTGTTAAAAAAGTGGGAGCTACCTGGCAGGGCCTGTCCTGGGACTGGGGGAGTGATGTACTGCCATTTCCTTTTATAACTAAATTGCCACTTTCCCCAAGCAGCTCTGTTTAACCTCTGCAGGTGTGTGGCTTAAGGCTGATGGATTTCCAGGAGATTGCAGATATTGTGCAGTCAGTATTGAACAGAGCTTGGTTCAGGTGCTGTCAGTAGCTGTGTCCAGCTCCAGCGTTCTGAAGAAGCATTTGGAGGTTTCTGTGGTTTTGTAACATCCCATTCCCTGCCGTGAAGCGCTGCTCCGCGCCGGGAGCAGACATTCCTCTCCTGGCAGCTTTGCTTGGAGCTGGTTTATTCGTTTTCCATGACTCCACGCTCTCGGTAGAGGGAGCCCAGGCCCCGTCTGGAGCCGCTGGGAGCCGGGAAGCGGCCGCGCTCTCCGCTTCCAGCCAGAACATCGACCCTGTGTGTGACAGTGACAGTGACAGTGTCGCCTTGGCCGGCACCTGCACTGCGGGGAGCAGGGCCTCGGCTGCGGAACGGCTGCTCAGCTCCAGCGCGGGCACCGAACGGGCTTTTACACCGATTTCCTCAGCCAAACACAGCAAAAACCAGGCACTGATTACTCTGCTAAGGAATTACTTGTATTTCATCCTTCTCTATCAAGGCAAGTGCTGTAAAAATTGAATGGCTTTGTATCTCTGCCCTGAAGGATTTCCAAAGCCAGCAGTATGAGCTTCTGAGGGAAAACCAGCCCCAGCACCCATTACATCCTGTTTTCTTTACAGGCCAGCACTGGGGAACCCCTGGACAAAATGCAGAGCAAAAACAGAACAAAGAATTTAGAATTGAAAACATACAAGTCATGGATGTAGTTTTAACAAAAAGGAGGTGGAAACACAAATTTACTCTTCCCTTCCCAAATCTCCTGGCATTGGCTGCCAGCCCTGGGCATGCACTGAAGGCAGCATTGAGCTGCACATGCAGCAGTTCTCCTCTTTGAAGTGGCTTGCACAGCAAAGTAGCAACGACAACTTCAGAAGGGAAGGTTTGTCCATGGGGAATTTAAAATTAGCACCATAACATGCAGTGCTTGTCAGAGCAGCCATTCATCAATGATGTACCTCTGCCAGCACAGTTGTAAGTGATCAGCAGAGCAGGAGGCAGTGGCTGAAAGCTGTAAGTTAATTTTGACCATGCATTTGGAGGCACTGTGATATGTTTAGCAACAGGCAGAAGTGGTAATGACTCATTAATTCCATTTTTTGAGATCTCTGCTGGCTGCATGTGCAGCTGCTGTGTGCCCAGATAGGCTCTTGTGTCTCGTGTACTGCGTGTGAAGTTTGAAACACAGAATACAGCCCAGGTGCTCTGGGGAACTCTGTCCAGCTCCTAAAGGCTTCCTACTTAGTGCTGTCCTCAGAAGCAAAATACCAACAGGCAGCAGCATGGCAAGCCAGCACCAGCTCACAGACATGTGCCACTGAGCCACAATGACCAGCCTGAGAGGTTTAATTGGAATTAAGTCTGCATGATGCCAATACCTCCCAAATTAGTCTCTTGGTAGGCATTTCACAAAATTTAAATGCTGTTTTAAATGCTACTAGATGTGGAATCCTGCCAGGTAAGAACTACCAAAGCTGCTCAGCAGGAGAGGAGAGCAGAGTCTATGATGTGTCTGACCCACTAACACAGTGTTAAGGTGTCAGAACAGGAGGCTTTGGTGTCACCAGGGCAGTGCTGAGTAGGGGCTTGTAGCTCTTTGTCATCCCTGCTTTCCCTTCATCTGTGCTTTTGTGTCTGGTCCCTCCTTCCCCTGACAGGGGAACTGAGCTTTGGCACTTTGGTGCCTGGTGGGAGGCAGGATAACTTCACACACACCCAACTCCAACCTCAGCATTGAGGGAAAGGCAAGAAATGTTCCCAAAAGTGTATGTGGGGGTTTTTGCTTCTGCGGCCAGGCCACACCCCCACCCCCCCTGCATATATAAGACAAAAATAAAAACTAGACAGTCAGTTGTCTAGAGATGCCACATGTTTATTAATCCATTCTAAAAAAGGATTACAGCATTTTTATCTTGCTGTAGTACAGAATAAATAAAGCCATAAAAATAAAAACATGTGTTAGATATTTTTGTACTGGTTCTACAAAGAGCTATATCTGCAAATAGAAAAATATAAGAACCCTTGTTAATTCATGGCTCAGTGGTTATCAGAGAAGAATGAACCTGGAAGAAGAGTGGGAAAACTCTTGAGTTTGACTGCTACTGGCAACCTAGCAAGAGATAGCTTTGGGAGGAGGAAAAGACAACACAAAGTCAGCAAACAGGTGACCTTGGCACAAAAGGGCTGAGGTTTAGCTTGCTCTGTGGCTTATGTTCTGCTAAAAATACCAATTAATTTCTGTCCTATAACTTCCATCTTCCCAGAGAGATGTCCAGTCTGCTTTAAACTCCTGCTGCAGAGCCAAACCCTCCTGCGTTGGCCTTGTCAGCCAACTGACCCGAAGGTCAGCTGTGAAATGGAATTCAAGGTCACCTTTCACTGCAGGACACCTTTCACTGCCACACTGGGCTGAACACGGGTCATGGGGCAACAGGAACAGGAAAACATCTCGTTAGACCCTGGGCAGCCAGAGGTGCAACACCTCTGTGCCCCAGGGCTGCAGTCTCAAGGAAAGTTCCTCATTGCACCTGCACAGTGGTACTCACCTGAACCACGCTGCCTCCCCTCCCGACCCCAGAGCTGCTCTGCTGAGTCACCACAGCCACAGGATCTGACCTGAGTCCATCTGGCAGCCACACAGAATCCTGGCTCCTCACACGGAGACGTTCAGGCACAGCCACTTCCCATCTCTTTCCAAGTTCTGGTTTACATGGACACAGTGGTGCAGAAAAGAAAAGGTTCAGCTTTGGTCACTGACATAAAGCCTGCCCTGGACAGTCACATCAGTTCAACAGCCTCGTGTTCCCCATCCTCTTGCTGTATCATACAGCCAACTTTATTGTTGAAGAGACGAGACAGACTCCCCTTCTGGGAGCTCCTGCCCTGCACAGACCTCTCCTTCTTCAAGCGCCGCTTATTTCTCTTGCATATCCCCCGGATGTCCCAGATCCGCAGCGTGCCGTCGTGGGAAGCCGTGTACAGCAGCTCGTTGTGGATCTGGAACAACAGGGTCACAGCACAATCAAACTGTCAAAAATCAGAGCAAACACAGCTTGAGCCCAACACTTAAGGCCTGAGCTCCTTGCAAGAGCCAGTATAAATTATCACAAAAGCTGCTGAAGTGGGATGAGACATTACCAAGTCAGGACTCATTTCTCAGCCACTCACAGAGCCATAAACAACAAGAGTTACTAATAACCCAGACCCTCTAGAAAAGCAATGGAGAACTAAACCAATGTCAGAGCAGGCTGGGAATTTCTGCTGGAACTGTTTTCAGACTGCTGGTTTTGATGTGGAACTTAAGGAGGCACCAAAATCATCATCAGTGAGCAACGGGCGGGCTCAGGAACGCTTCCTTTCTCACCTCCCTTCTTCCTTTACACTAAATCATAGTGCAAATATAAATACATAAATTCCTCCTTCAAACTCCATTGTTCTTCAAAACCTGCAGTAATTTAACCTGAATTCACTGCTCTGGTTCCATTTCCTTTATGAACCATTTGCTGCTGTTGGTGATGTTTCCAATTGCCCTTGTCCTGCCCTGGAAGCCAGACACCAGTCTTAGTGATCTTCCTGTTCCTGTGTCAGTCTGTCCACCCATGGGTGCCCTGTGGTTGTCTGTCCATGCTGTGACAGTGAGCATCTCCCTGGCTTGCATGAAGTACCACACAAGCACCACACCTCTCATCTAGCCCTCATTATTATACCCAAGATCATCTTAAGGTTGCCACTTCTCAGTCCTCTCTCCTCCCGGGTTTTTTTGCCCCTGTATAGTTGGAAATCCAATTACAAAGAAGAACATAAAGTCAAGCTTTGGTCTTGTCAATACTTGGGGCTGCCCAGCGTGGTTCTATCAGGTACTCCCCAAACACATCCGGATACCCACGAGCTGCACAACAACTGCCCAGTACCAGGAGGTTGCAGTTTAAGATCATCCAGCCACTTGCTAATTCAGAAGAATATACAAGAGAAAACTGTATTTACAATTTCATGTGCTTGGGATCAACTCCAAAAGGAATTTTATCTCCTCTCTTTTTCTTTTGACTGTCAGCCTGCCAGAATTACCAACAGTATTTAACATTGTTAATGAAAATCTTCATCCTGCACACAGCTTACACTGAGATCCCAATGAAGGGAGATGCAGATTCATAGAGTGGCTGCCCCATCCATGGAAGTATTCAAGGCCAGATGGGAAGGGGCCTTGAGCAACCTGTTTTAGTGGAAAATGTCCCTGCCCATGGCAAGGCGGGGCTGGAATGAGGTCCCTTCCAATGCAAACCCCTCTATGATTCCATGGTCTTTGAATGGCCACCAAGGATTACTAATTCCTCCTGTTTTAATATTAAATGCCAGTTTCATTTGAGCCTAGACATTATGCAAACAACATTAACTTTCAGTTTTAAGCCAGTGGCAGAAACTCCTCCATTTTCCTGGCAGGATACGGGGCGGATATCCCTACTGAGCTGCTTCAGACTGTTTAGGGGATGCCATGCCCCGGGTGGTTTGGGGGACAATGCTATAATTATTCTGCCTGCATAAGGCAGGAACTTCTTTTCCCCTTTAGAGCACTGTGAACACTTATCATTAGTGTCTTATAATGGAAAGGGTCACATGAGGCTGGAGTCCGTTCTGTGCCCCACACAGCATCACTTCATCTGTCTCAGTTCTCACGGCTGCTTATCCAACCTGACCTGAAAAAACCCCAATCCCGGACACGGGGCTGTCCCTGGGGACTCGTTCCATGGTTTCACTTACCCTTATTATTATTAACTAGCTTTTCTAAAATTACATACAGAATGTTCAAGTATTATGCTAGAACAACATCCAATCCAAGACACACAGAACAGTCAGCCACACCAGTTCCCACAAAATAAATGAGGGAGAAACCAAAAGGAAGAAACCCCACCAAGAAATGCCTTCCTGACCTGGATACAGTTGATGATGAACTTGTGTCCTCGGAAGATCTTCTGCAGGACTCCACTCCTGGAATTGAAAGCTCTTGCACAGGCATCACCACTTCCTGTGAACACTGACACACAAGCACACAGCACAGCCAGATGTGAGCAGCCACACGAGGATAGTTCATAAAAGTTCAAAAGCACACCTAAAACCATCTCTCAGGGGGGCACGACGTATCATTTTGATTCTTTCCTCAAACAAACCAGATTACTTTGCTGAACCCAGCATGCTTGTTTTGAGTTGTATTTTTTGAAACACTGAACTGATTTAAATCTGAAGTTCCTACACACACCAGCATTTCACTCTGCACGTTTCAAGTGTCTATTTCTGCTCTTCTCTTGCACAGCTATTTCCCTGCCTATAATAATTCTAAGCAGGCAATTTATCCCAAGTCTGGTTTTAAGGATTTCCACTCAACCTTTCATTTGTTTTACCAGAGATATTTACAGCTTTCTATTCAGTACTCCAGTGTTTCCATTACTTCTGCTGCTGCAAGAGGGGCAGGGCTGGGGTAACTAAATGGAGCATGACCAGGAATTTTGTCTATTCATCAGGTTTCCTTAGAGCACCTTTCATGTTCAAAGAACAATTTCTCAACACATCAGGATCTTCACATCAGATCCCCACACTGCTGCATCCAGGAATTGTAAAGCAGTGTTAATATTTAGATTTTGTACTTAGCAATATGCTCAAAAAGGAGCCCAATTGTGTGCTTTAAGGGTTACAAACACTCTTGATAAACACTTCCCTCCAGTTAACCCAAACTCCTCAAGCTTATCTAGACATAAATATTTCAGAGCTGCAAAAAGCAATATATTCACTACTCTGTGTATTTAATGTCTTTGCAAAAGCCACTAGCATGGAAAGATTGTTACAAAACTGGTGTGCCTGAAGCCAACAGATTCCTTATCTTTTGGGAGAAGTCAGGACCAGAATCTCTAAAGAGAGGTGAAAAAATTATCATGGTTGTAAATTCAGGACTACAGTAACAGATGAGAGAACTGACTATGTCCTGCTATGAGCTTTTTAAATTCAAATGAAACAGCAGGGAGCTGGGCATCCCCTGGGTACACCTCCAAGAAACATCTGGATGTGGAAAATCAATGTCACTTTATATGGGCCACTATCATTCAACTTCCAGCAGAGTCCTGAAAAAGCAGCATGTCCCACTCTGCAAATGAGTAGCAACAAAGTAAAGCAGGGAACAGGTACTGATTTTTTTCCCAGTGAATAACAATCACTTAATTCTGTTACAGACATGCAGAGAGTAGGAACCAATTAAGAGCTGTTTTCACTATGCAGCTGCCAGTTTACTTCAGCTGTTGCCATCAGAACTTTGCTTTTGACAGACATCCTTTATGTCCTTTGAACTGCCACTCTGGATTTAGGAAGTCTCCCTCCACCTCTGAATTTCAAAGAAGAGCTGTCGATCTAACCCAGATTTAGCATTTAAATACATACTTATATATACTACCTGTGAAATAAACAGCAACAACAAAATAAAACTAATTTTCATTTTTTACTTAATTTTCATAGACCCTTGGGAGAACAGTTTTGAAACGTTCTCCTAAACCACATTAAATTTTAAAAGGCTGTGCACATACTTTAAGAGAAAAATAATCAACATATCATTAAATAAATTAGATTGAGAACCAGCTGTAATATTCCCCATGCTATTAATTACACAAGCAGTCTGAAGAAAGCAACTGGAAACACATTCTGATGATTTAATGCTTAGTTTTCACATTGTTCTGGACTCCCTGTACACTATAAAGTGATTTTGGAAACAGACATGTATTTTTCCTCTCTTTCTTCCACTCTATTTTCTTATTTAGACCACAAGCCCTTTCAGGCAATGAGCCTGTGGGCTCTGATCAGAGAGAAAGCAGCAGAATTAAAATCTTCTAACAGAAAATTACCACTTGATGGCTGAGATGTTTTTTCATGTTCTTGCACTAGTGCAAATGTGACATAAACCACAAAAAACATAATTTAAATAATTTTTCCACATTTTTGAGAGACCATTCTGATCTGTCCCAGGTGAACAGATTGTCTTTTAAGCTACACTAGTTCCAACACTGGTATCCAGTCAGCATGTCTTTATAATTCTAATTCTAAAAAAATTATTAGATACTGTGGAAATAAGCGATGAATGCACCACAATAATGCAAGCAATCATAGTATATAAATTAATTCTTAGTGGGAAAATTTTTTCCAGAGCTTTTTCTTCTACCCTTAAAGTGGAACAATTTGACACTCCCTGTTTGACACTTTTAGTATTTTTGTATTTGATTTAAAACAAGATCTTAAATAACTCTGTAAACTCTTCTATCACACTATCAGGATGTTCTTTGTAGGTCTGACTAAATGCAGCAATATTGTCTGCATTTTAGTTCAAAAAAAGAGTGCTGTGGAAAAATAACGTATGTGCATGGCAGGGACAAGGTGGTAGAATGAGGGGGAAGAGAGAGTTGCAGAGTTGATGGAGGTGGCATCAGATAATGAAACTTTTGTTTGAGCTAAAACTTCCTTTTCTTTACATTTTGGTCAAGTCTCTACAGGTTGCATGAAGAGTAGGATCACCACTGAAAAACTGCAGCTCTGGAGGTGTCATTAATGAAGGAGACAATCTCTGTCTCCCACCCGGACATGCACGTTCATCACAGGATCAGGCAAACAGCAGCTTAGCACAGATCACTCGCCTTTGGCTACTCTGCACAAAATCAATGTTTTGGTTTGTGTTTTTATAATTGAAAGGGGGGAAACACACACACAAAATCATCAGTACTTTGTCTACCAGATCATCCCAGATTACAATTTATGGTTTATTTCCCTTGCTCTATCTGCCTGCATCTTGGAGCAATAATAACTTGAAGGTACAGTGTAGGTTCAGACTCTCTCCCCTTCCATTTCAGCCTTCTAGCCAACTGTGGAAGCTGAAACCAGCAGAAATTACAACCTCCACATAGGGGAGAATGGGGTAATTCTGCATAGAGGTAAGGAGAGCTGAAATAACCACAAATTATAAATAGATATTTTACTGGAGAAAAGCAGTAATGTGGGATTCATGCTGAAAGGAAGACCAAAAACAACGTTTCCTGGCTAAAATTCTACCTCTGGGCCTGGCTACATGCTAAGTTTCCAAACATAATTAAGAAATCAGTTCAGCTACTGGGTTATAAATGTAGTCAGGCAAGTATGGTGCCAGACAAGCGCCACTAAACTGTGCAGGTACAAATCTGCCAACGTGCACCATCTTGCATCTGTCAGCTGTTTATCACCATCACACTGAGGAGCTGCCAAAAGAGAGATCAAGGCCCAGATAGCAACCACTCATTTAGTGTGATGTGTTCACTTCAAAGCTGAAGTGAAGAAATCAAATTCAGGAAAGAGCTGTGAATGTCTAGGTTAGCTTAAGACAGCCATGGCCATCTCCTTCAGGGAGGAGAGAAGGAGAGAAGTTCTTTTTTGGGAAGCAAGTGAAGGTACATCAAGGCAAATACCAGAAGTAGGATAAGACCAGGAAGACACAGAGAGGTTCACTGATCAAAACAGAGGTGTTATCTGGCAACCCAAACCCAGACATGCAGAAGGAAAGCCAGCACAGAGAGGGATTTAAAGAGGGAGTTTGATGGTCAGCAATAGACACTGATGGACAGAAACTACTGTAAAAAGGAGGACTGAAAGTAGGAGAGCCGAGTCCTGAGCATTGGTAAGGCAAGCACTGCTTGGCTGCTGGAGGAAAGTGATTTGGGGAACAAATCCATGAATGGTAACAGACAATTTCCACAGGTCAAGAACTGGTGGAAAATGAGTCTAGGAGATGGTCAGAGCCTCAACAGGAAGCCTAACAGTTAGAAAGGAGCAGTGAGCATCTGCTGTGTGATTCTGGTTTAGGACAGGGTGTTACCCAGGGCCTACAGGCAGCAGAGAGAGGTGCAGGGCTGTGTCCAGCAGCAGCACTTGCTGTCCCCAGCACACAGCAGAAGCAGGTGACAGACACCAGACTAGCTGAGGTTAAACCACAGCTACACAAACAACCCCCAGACAGCTCAGGATTTAAGCCACTTCCCTTGGTAACAGAAACAAAACTGCCTCTTCATTTGTGAGAAGAGGGAGGTGGAAAATGGAGGGAAGACCTAAGCTTCCCACATGGAGTGGTGCAGCAGTTTGGCACTGAACGTAAACATGCTGGAGTTGAAAAAAACTGAAAACTTCACAAGTACTCAAAATTATTCTCCATTAACAACTTTCAATCAAACACAAACATTGAAAAGGAGACTGGAAGCAGTTGGAGAGCACAGGAAAGGCAACTTACAGATGCCAGCGTGGTATTTCAAAGTGCTAACGCTGTGTTTGTGAGCCTTGTAGGTCTGGATCCGCTCCCCAGTGTCCACAAACCAGCACTTCACCGTCCTGTCCGCGCTCCCCGAGTACAGGTGACGATTCACCAGCTGAGGGGAGACAAAAACACATCAGCAATGGCCTCTCAGGCACCTTCATGAAAGAACTGCACTGAAGGGACCCATCCCAAGTCACATTTTCCAACTCAGAGAGCAACAAGCTGCACCTACTTTGAAACAGAGGAGTGGTGAGCAAACCAACCTTGAGTTCTTCATAGTCACATCTCCCATTGATTTCTGGGTCTTCAAAACAGCCCCAGCTTTCAGAACATAAAAGTTTAGCCCATCTGCTTGTGCCAGCAGGATTCCAGGGAGCTTAACAATGCTAACCCTACATCCATAATCAGTTATATTACTAAAGCCTCAAAAAAAACCCCAGCAGTGTTGTTTCTGCAATGCATATTTGACAAGAACTCTTGCCAGATTGTTACATTTTAATTACAAAAAATTCAGAACAATTCTGAGTAACAAAAATTTTTTTTAAAAGGTAAATTAAAATTAAAATCCTACACACCATAAACCAGGGTTTATGTTTAGTATGATCACTCTGCACAAGGTCAGTATTCAGAAATACTAACTCTTCCTTGAAACTGTTCTGTATCTGCATTTCCACAAGACTTTTTAGATTGTTATTGAATGAATAAATAAGTAGCTATCCTGACACAGGTTTTTACATCTTCAAGCAGATTGTCTTCTCCTGTGTGTTATCTCTCATTGCTCCAGTCATCCTACACATTGTGAAAACTCACTGGTGTGGAGGATGGGGTTTGTTCCACATAGACAGGACAGAGAATGATGAAAGGAGGGATTGCAGCTGAGGAACAGAGACAGAGAGAAAATAACTGACCTGTGCAAGACTAGAAAACCAACCAGTGCACAATAAACAAACTACACAAAGCCTGGAAGCTCATCAAGGAAAAATTCCATAGTGCATAGAAAAATATGGCATTCTCTGTCTGTGTAAAGACATCAAACTGAAGGTTTTCACAGCCGTAGTTATGTAGAGCCCAATTCCTGCTGAAAGCAGACAGTCACTCCAACACCCAGCTGTGACTCGAGGGAATTTTTATGGACTTGCAGCACCCTTTGTATCAGAGGGATGGAGAGACAGGAGGGAGAACCCTGAGCCCCCACCAAGAAGTGGAATTTCCCCAAGGAGTAATGAATGGCACCTTGTTTGTCCACCAGACACACGTATCAGAAGGTTTGAATGACCAGCAGTGCACAAACCTCTGATACTTCTCCAGTATTTCCAGAAAACCAGCAAATGACAAATCAACTTGTGGTTTCACTCACAGAGCACCTTTAAGGGTTGGTGTTCCTGCCACCTTAGATTTGGTCCCCACTCTTTGCACACTCTGTATCTGTAAGGCTGGAATGTTGTTCATGCTCTTCCATCTCCACTCCCAATCCAAAAAGGAATGACTCTGTTCCCAAAAGGCAGCAGAAATGAGCTTTGTACAAAACAGCATTGTGCTGTGTTACAACAGAGCTGTTGCAGGGAGTGCTGGAGGTGGAGGAACAGTGAGGGGGTTACCCAGGACCCAGACACAAAATGGAGCAAAAGGTATTTTAAGATATGAAGCACTACAGAGATGGGACTGTGAGAACCCACACATGAAATGTGAGCAGGCAGACCAAGAGGCTCCCCTGCCACAGCTCCCACCAGCTCAGCTGGAGCAGGACATGCCATGCTTCCTCCCAGCAGAACCTGGCCCGTGGGAGAGATTTCATAGCTGAATGCCAGGAGCTTGTAAAGCACAAACCACTGTAAAAAGCCAGCAGTACTTTGAAATGTCACTTCCTATTACTTTTAAGCTGTTTTAGCAACAGCATTAATGCTACATCTCCATGAGGAGAGAGAACGAATGGCCAGCAGCACTAACAAAACCAAGAACCACAAGTTAGCCTGAGGAAGGACTTTTAAATTTCAGTCTCTCCCTGAATAGGCATGAAAAGCATTGTCATGTGCACCTGCTAAATGGAGAAGGATGCATTGAGTTGGGATCCTACTGCGTGGTTTGCAGCCAAGTTGTTGCATTTCTTTTTTAGCTGTCTTGCTAGCAGCATCAACCCACCCACTGAGCAAGGAAAAACACTAAATTATAACCTCCCACAGGTAAATGCCATTCTGCATTAATGGTACATTAGGTTATACCACTTCATTTCTACATTTAAGTGGGTGTATCAATGAACAGGAGACCTGCAGCTTGCCTAGATTTGCTAGGTACAGTTTGTTAGATACAAAAATGTTTCAAGTTATGTAGATTTATTCAGGTAATGTATAGCATCAGGATTTTGAGAGCCTTAGAATCATAGAATGGTTTGGGTTGGAACAGACCTTCAAGATCATCTTGTTCAAAACTCCTGCCATGGGCAGGGACATCTTCCACTACCCCAGGTTGCTCCAAGCCCCTTCCAACCTGGCCTTGAACACTTCCAAAGATGGGGCAGTCAAAGCTTCTCCAGGGAACCTGTGCCAGTGCCTCAGCACCCCCACAGGAAAGAATTTCTTCCCTATCTAAATCCCCCCTCTTAGTTTAAAGCCATTTCCCCTCATCCCATCACTCCACAGCCTTGTCCAAAGTCCCTCCCCAGCTCTCTTGGAGCCCCTTTAGGCACTGGAAGGGGCTCTAAGGTCTCCCTGGAGCCTTCTCTTCTCCAAGCTGAACAACCCCAACTCTCTGTACTTGTCTCCATAGCAGAAGTGCTCCATCCCTCTTCATCATCTTCACAAGCTCCTCTGGACATCTCCAACAAATCCGTATCTTTCCTGTACTGAAGACTCTAGAGCTGGATGCAGCACTGCAGAGGGGGTCTCACAAGAGAAGAACAAAGAAGAATCACTCCCTTGACCTGCTGCCAGCATTGGTTTTGGTGCAGCCCTGGATAGGACTGGCTTTCCAATGTCTGAGATCTGGTGAGGGGGTTGGCACAGCAACCAGCTCAATGAAATTCAAAGCCTCTGTGCTGCCCCATGAAACACTTGCATGCACTTTCCTTCTCCTCACCAACTGAAGCAGTGAGCACAGCAGCACAGGATTCTCAGTCTTGCACAGGAAAGGAAATATGAACAGGTTAAACAATCCACCAGGTGCCACAGACTGAGCCTGCAGCAGAGCCAACAGCAAAACCCAGGGCAGGCTCTGACTGTCACACAGCCCCTCATTCCCATGGCAATTTTATAAAACAGCAGGAAATGGCTGTTAGTGAAGAAAGCCTCCAAGAGCTCTCAGCAAAGGCTGAAGTTGCAAATCAGATCTGTCTTTAGTGATATGACAGGCATAATCTCATCTAAACTGGTTCACATCTCCACAGCTAAGGATAGCCCCCTTACAGTCACTGTGGTCTAGGGCACAATTGCTCTCATCCTGAGGCACATCTGAAACAGATCATGCCTTAGAACTCACTATTTCCCATCCCCAACAAGGACAACCTTCTCAGCTGTGGCCAGAACTCAGGTGAGAACACTCCTTCACTTGACTAAATATAGGTCTAGTTTACAACTCCAGCCTAAGCTGCAACACTTCAGATTTAATCTGTATTTAAATAATAATTATCATCACTTACTGTTCCCCCAGCAAAAGCACCTTACAAGCTGGCCCCATACTCTGTGGTTTCAAAATGTTTAGCAGACACAGTTGCACATTCCAATCTGTGTCTGCCCACAGAAGAGGTGACATCTCTAAAGCTGTATTTTCCTTGGCTGGTTTTTGAGCCCTTGGTTCACTTTGGACAACACAGAACAGATTTGCAGCTCAGATACCAGCCACAGAGTGGACATTTCAAACCCATTTAACTTCAAAAACATTAAAAACCTGACAACAGTTTGTTGCCCAGTTCTAAAGCCTCAGCCAGACAGCAGAAAAAAAACCATTCCATTGATATTCACAATTCTGGATTGTTAATTTTTCTCAGAAGAAATTTTGCTTTGAACCAGATGAAACACTGACATGTGAATGGAGCAAATTTGTCTTAATCTTCAACCCAAAGTACTGGAGATATAACTATTTCTTGAAAAAGTTCAGTCAAACTGCTTGTGAGTTGCAGAGTAATAAGTAGCAAAAGACTAGTTGTAAACACTTTAGTAGTTACAGGTCTCATTAATAAGAAAAAACCTTGGTTGTAGCCCACAAACACACCAGAATTTTAACAAAGAACAAATTATCACATCCAGGGCTGGTCTCTCAAGAAAATCACAACCCTATTGCTTCACAAGCTTGGCTGAACTGCATAAATACAACAGCTTAAGCCAATTTCTACCTATAAAAATGCCAAAAAATATCTGCAAAAGAGCTGTTTAGCAGGTATTTCAGCCTTATAGGAATGGACTTTGCCCTCACAATTAACCTTTGCTGTGAGAAACAATTTTTGGAGAGCCAAGGAGAGGCAATTGAGTCTCCAAAGAGATCGGGACACATAGTTCAGCTGAGGGTCACTGCACTCAGGAACTTCAAGATGAGTTCACATGAGCTACCACATACCCCATCACCAGCTTATTCTTCTCATGGGGGTCAGTGTTCCTACCATCTGGAATTTGGGTCTTCTGTTCACAGCCACTTCTAAGACAAAAATCACCACGCTAGACCAAGCTCAAGATACAACTATGTAAGCCTTGGGCCGAGTTAAGAGTTTCAGGATCCCATTCAAACCACATCCATTTTAATGAGCTAACAAACTCCCTGTGGGCAAGAAATTGTTGGGGTTTTTTTCCTGAGAATCCATCTAGAATGAGCTCTCTGGGCTAGCTGTTAAGAGAAGGCTTTTCAACTTTTTTACTGCAGTGCAAAGTGATGGCCCCATGTTTTGTTCTTGCAGGTGTTGTGCACCTTCACATCCTGCTCATTCAAATCTTCATCCTCTGATGCAACAAACACAAATTGCCATAAATAAATATGTGCACTTAATTTAACTGGTGTGGCAAGAAGACATTTCTGTCCCCATGATCACAACAGTTCAGCACATAAACAGAGTTCAGGCAGTAGCTTTGTTCAAAGCGCTCTTTTCTTCTAGGCAGCTTTAAAAGGCAACTGAAGGGAATGGTCCAAACAAAGGAATTCTTGCAGGAAAACCAGAAGCAAGTCCTTGCCCACTCATGTTCATGTTCTTCAAAAGGGAGTTTTCTTGCAAGAATGTTTGCAGTGGGATCCAAGCTAAATTCCAAGCTGGATCATTTCTCTCTGCCAGCTTTTGGCAGCACAATTTTGATAAATACTCAGAGGCAGAACAATCAGCAAAGGACAAAGCAATCCTTGTGAACAGTTTGCAAAGCTACTTAGGAGAGACATTTAGAAAAACACACACAAGTAAATATTTAAGTCAGGGTTATTCAGCCTATTGCAGGCAGGCACATTAACAAAAATTCATATTTGATTATTAATTACAAATACTGGTCTCTAGCCAGGCCTGAAATTTTAAGTGGAAGAATGAGCATGAGCTATGTGGTTACACTCAGCCCACCCTTGCTTTTTCCCATCACTTCCTATAAAATCTCATTATTGGCTCTTATATGAAGAGGGAGCTCCCAAAACAGCTGCTGTACTTTGTCTGCCAAGCTATCAACACGCTACAGGAGGAGGAGAGTGAAGAGCTCTGGCTGCTCCACTGTGAGTTACCTTGCCTGACTGGGAAAGTCAAGTAATCAACGCTGCCAAAACACCTAACATGGGCACAATTCCCACAGCAAATAGAAAAGTCTCCCAGCAAAACCTCCCTCAGCCCAATTTAAATGGTGGAAGGAGGAGAAAAGTGGCATTATCACAAGCTGCAGAAGTCCTTTGGCAGCAGAGCACACAGCAGGACGAGCCTGGAGAATAGGGCAGCTCAGCCTCATCACTCCCTTGCCCAGAGCCACCAAGGACAGGGCACAAGGGAAAGCCCAAAGCTCACCAACACTTTCTGTCCTGCCATGCTACATGAGAGTTGTTTCCAGGCTCCTCTACTACCTGGCAACAACACTTTAAAGGATCTTAGAGCAACTAGGGAATGTCCAAAATCTGAACCTGTCTGTGGCACCACCCCTCTGCTTTCCACACACCACCACTGCAGGCAGCAGGGTGGGAAACATGGGTGTGCTTTATGGCTATCTACCCAGAAAACGCCTTCAAGAAGCTCCAGGAATTTCCATTCACTGCTACAGAAACACTATTGGTGTTTACTGTAAAGCAATGGGAGATGACTGGAACAGGCCAGACCTAATTTGCAGCAGTTCAGAACATCCTGGGGCATTCCCATCAATAACAGCTTTTTAAAGTTGGGGAAAATATGGTCTCAATATCCAAATTTTTCCTGATCTGTGTCCAGGATGAGAAATTACACTGAGCATTTCTCAAACTTTTTGAAAGGTCATCCTCCCTTAGGGATCTTTATTTTAATAAATAAAATGAAAAGAAGACTTTCTTTTTCTTTCCCTTTTTTTTCTCCCCACACAAGCTTTGTACCACCCAGAGAACAGGTAACTGCCTTCAATTGCTGGCACCAACTCAGCTCCTCCAGGACAGCAGAGTGAAAATTTGATGTAATTAGCAGCTCACTGCTGCACTGAAGAAAATTAATTACTGTCAATTAAATCTTCTGGCTACTGTGGGCAACTCGCAACTACCTCCCAGTCCTTCCAGACACAGGGTTTGAAAAATACCATCCCAGCTCATTGCCACAGATTCCAACACTGTCACTAGGAAGCCTGAGGCAAAAAAGGCCCCAAAAGCTTTCTGAGAACAAAACAAAAATAATAATAAAAAACACACCTCTATTCAGGAAGTTTCCATTCTGTTGAAACATCTTTGTATAGATTCTGGTGATTGACCCCTTTCTAAAAGAATGAAAATACCATGTGGGCTGTGCTGAGTGGCAGCCAAGTGGAACAGAAGGGAGAGTGTTGAACCCAGAAAGGCAGAGGGAGGAATTAGGAAAGATCGACAGCCTAAAGCTATTCAACAGCAGTGACTGCTTAAGCTGGGATAAGTTTGAGAGGCCTGGACACTAAATGCTCTCTGCAGGGGCTGTTTGTACCTCAGCTGGACCTTCCCAGCCCCAAACATTAACTGGTGATGAGAGAAGAGAGGGGCTACCAGTCACTCAAGAAAATTTGGCCAGGACTGCTGCCAACACAGTCTTGGCAGCAGCAGCAGTCTTGTGTATTCTGAATTGTTCAGGTTTTCCAAATAGATGTATTGGTTTTGCTTTTCTTCCCCCTTACAAGAAGTTCTGTTTGTTTAAAGCCATTGCTTAACTCTGTGCTCACAGGCATTGCTCATTCCTGAGCATTCAAAGGGCATAATTGAATTTCCCAGGCTTCTGGGAGAGGGTCAAGCCAGCTTTGTATAACAATTTTAGCAAGAACCCAATTAAATTAAGGCAAATTCTGTTGTTGCCAATCTGTGCCTTGGAGAAGAGTTACAATTAAACAACAAAACATAGTGTGACACTAAGGACAGCAACAGATTTACTTCAGCATCCTCAGAGTACATTACCACAATATCATAAAAACAAGATTTAACACTGAGAATTTACCCAAGCAAGACAAACATTACTCCAGGGCAATATGATATTGTGTGTTTGGTTGGTTTTTTTCTCTTCTAAAAGTGAAGGAAAACAGAATTCCTTTAGTATTCCCAGGTTTTTAATCTTCTAGTGTCAGCTGTGACTACCTTATTTAGAAACAAAGGCAACTTTTATTAAACAGCTCTTAAAGATACATCCTGTGTCCTCTGTAAGGGAAAAACACTTATGCATAACAAACACAAACAGGGAGAAAAACTACTGTCATTAACTTCAGTCAGACACATCCATGTATAAATATTTATGACCTGAAACTGAGTGACAGACCATCATGTACTCTCTTTAAATACACTATTAGCATTTTCTGGTGGATAATGAGCACATGGATAACTATCATTCCCCTCTTGCTTCATCTGCCTGACCTCCTCCTTTCCCCTGCAATGTTAACAAAGCTGGCAGCCTTCAACAGAAAAATACTGCAAACAGAAAAACAGAGAATAGTTTTTCACATCTTTTATGTTTTTTCCCTTTCTCCTCTATCATTTCCTGATTTCTCTCCCCCGTGCTCTGCTTCTCTTTTCCATTTTTCTTGACTGTTTTCTTGTCTTGGCTGTCTGTTTCTCCCTTTTTTCCCCTCACATCTGTCTGTGTGGTCTTTAATGTAGGATTTCTATCAGCTTTATGCTTTCCTATTATCTTTTTCCCACAGTTTTGGGTTGGGTTTTTTGATGTTACCTGGTTACTGAGTGTTTTTTCCCCTCCCCTTTTTAAATTACCTAACCCTGTGTTACTTGCTCAGGTTATTTTCTTCAAAGTTTGGTGAGCCTGATGACACAATCCCACTCAGATGAACAGTGCCCTCAGCACACCTACCCATGAGTTCCATGACCTAGTGGAATTTAATAGATATTGAGCTAGAATATCTAGCTCAGGGCAGCCACTAGAAGCTAAAAGGAGATCACTAAGTGTTTTAGAGAAAGAGGGTTTATCTCAAGAACAAAGACCACTATTATTTTGTTATTACAAAAATATTTAAGCTCACTATTTACAACCTGTCTCAGAAGAGCTTCTTTATGAAAGAAAAGACAACTGAGACCCACATGAGTTAAGACACGGACACCTAAAGGCCCTCGAGGAAGCTTCTGCCCTTACCTCTAAGCAAATTACTGATCCTTGGTGCTCTTTGAAGACTTTGAGCTGCTCTCCAGTGACAATATTCCAGGTCCTGATGGTGTAATCCGTGCTGCCAGAGAACAGCTCCCTGTTTGGTGCATCAAGTATAAGGCATAAGACAGCCCCAGTGTGTCCCAGCAGGGTCTGGTAGCAGCGCCCGCTGGACACCCACCAGACCTTCACAGTGCAGTCCGTGCTCCCTGTCACCAGCAAGTCCCTGCTCACTTTCTCCTCCTCTTCCTCCTCCTCTTCTTCCAGCACATCCCTGGAGGAATAGTGAGCTAGAGTCAGGACACAGTTCCGATGGCCCCGGAATTCCTGGATTTGTTTCTCCTTGTCCACGCTCCAGCAGCGGGCTGTCCTGTCATAGGAGCCACTGAAGAGATAGTCTTTAGCAACCAGGATTCTGCAAAAAATAAAGTTTGTGTATGTGAAAAGTATTGTTCTTTTTTCATAACCATCTTTTGTCATAATTTCAGTGCCAAGCACACCAAAGTATGAAAGAGCAGCATGAACATAACTTCTTTGGCATTTTTAAAAATCAAACACTTCTCTGTTTCTACTTTTAAAGTTGAGATCCCTCATTCAGGTACACTGATGCAGATATTTTTACATTATAGCATTGTAACTTTGTGCATTTTGTTTTGCTAAAACTCCTTCCAGCAAGGAATATGAACTTTCATAAGTTATAGATAATACCTAGAAGTTTGTTTTGTTGATTGGTTTGTATTTGTTGGGGTTTTTTTTTAATTATCTAATTTTTGTTAATTATTCATTAATATTTCTTTATATAAATTATTTAAAAACAGACCTGTAACAATAGCTTGGAATCAAAACAACAACAAAGCAACAAAACAACATTCAGGAATCTGAACTGTAACTGACAGTGTGCAAAATAACCATCTTTCCATCACCAACTAAGGAAAGAGCAAGAAAAAAAAATACACTTAATTTCACTTAGCTCAGGATCTCAAAAAAGGTAAAGCACGAGCAGCCACTTATTACATAATTTAAGAGCAAACCAGAGATTGCACCTCAGGAATTCAACTTCCTGGGCCTTCAAAATAATGAGTTGTAGCTACACAAACATACAAAACCAGAAAAAAACTCTACAGTTCATATTTCCAAACCAGAGATAGGAAACATCCATAACCTGCCTTCTTTGTCAGCTGAGCTTGGTCTTCTGGAACCTTTCAAACAGGCAACAAAGTCATATGAATGGGGAACACATTTCCCATTTGCTGATTCAAGCAGAAATCAGGCCTGTGCCAAAACACAGAACCAGCCTTCCTGACTATTTACAGAATCTCACGACACATCATATGTGTTTTGAGTTTAGAAAGGAACTAAAAAGCCCACACGCCCAGCAGAAAAGAAATGTTAAAAAAATACCAATCTTTGACTGCTCTATTTGCCATTAATTAAATCCAGTCCAACTATTAATAGGCACTTTAAATGGAAAGGCCAATCAGCCACACACAGTAAGTTTATTATTAAACTTCATTTGCCCAAACAGGAATAATAATTAAAGAAAAATTCCCTGACTTTATCCCTCTTTCTGACACAAAAGCTCAACAGGATGTTTTAAAACCTATTTATCAGCAGCATCTGTTATCAATTGGATCATTTCTTCTGGAATTTCATTCCTTGCCCTGGATTCCATTCCCCTGCTGTGTGCCTTTCATTTCTCTCCTATCTGTGTCAGCAATGTTGCTAGAAAAACTAATCACTGCAGCACAGAACATGAACTCAGAGGTTTACACAGCCCCTTTTATGAGTGCAGCAATGGGGAACTGCAGGGAAATGATAAAGTGTGTGATAACAGATGTGACAACAGATGACAGGAGCACGAGGGGAGAACCCACCTGTTGACAATTGACGTGTGGCCTCGGTAAATGGCCAAGCACTGCCCGGTCACCACGTCCCACTTGCGAATGGTGTGGTCAGCGCTGCAGGTGAAGGCAGCCTCGTTCTCCAAGTGGCAAAAGGTGATGTAACTTTCATGTCCTAGGAATAACAAAGGAAATCAGTCACTGTGCATGAAGAAAGGACAGATTAGTCCAGCTCTTCACCTTAGCCAAAAGAAAACTACAAACAAATGTAGCAAAACTCCAGTTTTAAATGCACCGCTGTGCTTGTCGTGTTTAAAGATTTGTGTAAAACACAACCATTTCAATCACAGCAAAAAACTTCACAGATATCAGGATTAAGTGAAAGAGTAAAATAGAGTAAGACACTACAGTTCCACCAGGCAGGTAAATCAAACAGTATTATAAAAATGTAATGAGATAGACTAATAAAGTTTGAAACCAATAAAAAACAATCATATTTTTAAAGTAAAAATGGTTTTGCTTCCTTCTTCTGAAATCAGGGAGAAAAGGGCAGCATTTCAACCCAGCCCATCCATTGTCAAGACACAAACAATCACAAATCAAAGCATGAAACTCTGAAACAATTACCTGAGACTTACCAGCAAGTTTGATTTGTCCAGGCAGAATAAAAAGCAAACACAAAAATATACCAGGTAAATAGTCAGCCAATACTTTCCCCCACATGACTAAACCCCACCATTTTCTAAGTATACCTTTAAGGAAAAGAAAGGGAGGGAGGGAGGGAGGAGTGGAGCACAAGTGTTTACACAATATGTAGAGTACACAGGGATTCTACAGTTACAATAAAAACAGACACAACCACTGCTTTAAAAATATCACACTGACAAACAAGGCAACACCAAAAAAGAGGAATCAATATTACCACCTCAAGCTTTGTTGCTGCTTAGCAAGATGTGTCATTTTTCTATTGCAATATTAAATGCACCACATGTAAAAATCACCTTAGGATACAAGTCCCAGCTTCATCCAAGACGTCTTGTGTGAAATTGCTGTCACCTATCTAATAATTGGACAGTACTATTACCTTGCACTCTTCTGTTTTAACATTTAGACTAAACTTTTAGGAGCAGAACTGTTTCCACCTCAGTCACTATTACAAGAGTGACAGTTATGGCTGAAGCTGGTGGGCCCTACTGTGACTTAAATACTATTCTTTGAGGAAAAAAGTAAAAAAATAAATTAAAGAAGGACAGTTGTAATTAAAGAGAGATAGATGGACAAAGGTATTAGAAAAACAATGTTATAAAATAAAGAGATGGTAAAAAAACTGAGGGAAAGCAGACTGCTCAGTAAAACACTGTTTCACTGACTACAAAAAAACATATTTCAGTACAATTCCTGAAGTTCAAAAGCCTTGTTGCAGTTCAAAAGCAAACCAGCATCCATGTTACAAACATATGGCTTGTTTCCTCTAAAACAAATTCATCAGATGCCAAAAATTAAACAGATCACCAGGGCTATAAGCAAAACTACACTCCTTCTCCCATATTTGCGAAACTTTTTGCAAAGCAGCCGGAACGGATCAGGTTTCAATCACTGGGATTTTTCTCACAGCATCATGTAATCCAGCTCTGAGATCAAAACAGCAATTTGGTTACTGCACCAAAGTCTGCCAGGCAGATTTTAACCATCAGTAATGCTTGACCCACACACAGGGTGCCAAAACCCCATGCGGCAGACAAGGTCTGGTGCTGGTCTGGCCAAAAGCAGCCACCACACAAGTCTGCTGGTTCTGCTGTGGTGAAGCTTGAAACTGTATTAGAGATATAGATTTATCAGTAATTATAGCTTGTAAAATTAAAATTGACACGACAACTGCGTGCATGCATAATTATAAAATACATACAATTATCTGATTCGACTGACAGTTCACAAACCACCCAGCCCAACCTTCCTCAGAGTTTATCCCAGACACTGATTATGGCAGATTCCATAATAATGAATGCTATCCAATGCATTTCTCTTTCTAGTTTAAAGGGATTTCTAAGCCTAAAGCAAATGCAGCAAGTTTTCCAGAAGTTAGAACCACGGCAGGATGTGGGAAAAAGAGACAATACTCCATAGTGAAAAACAAGCAAGCAAGCAAACAATCAACAAGGAAATCACAGCAATGTGATTTCTTCTTTGGAAGAAGAAAACATTAGAAATTCCAAATTTAACAGCTTTTTTTTTTTTATGAAAAGAACATGAGTGGGAATACAAACATCTTTCGCCCACATCTAGACTCTTGCATGTCCACTGTCTACAGGTTTTTTTTCTTTTCAATTACTGACATGCCAGTCTAAGGAAAATAATTATTTTAAGATGCAAAATTAATTTATATTGAAAAAGCCCAGCAATTAACACTTCTGTGCATCAGATGAGGAGGGAAAACAGAAGTAACCTATTTAGCAAGGTTTCTTTCCAGACTTCTGGGTCAAGAGGTTCTAAATAAAGAAAAGTAAGTCAATCACCTGGAAATGAGATGATTAAAAAAAAAAAAGGAGAATAATAAAAAGATAAAAAGTCAGGTTTTTTTTTCCACAGAATAAAACAGGGCTTCCAGAAAGTGACATAAGTTAAACTTCACACACCCTGAGATAAAAGCATCCGTGCATTCGATAACCTGTTTTGGGTTGAAACAGCTCCTGCTTAACGCTGCTGTAATAAACACCAAAACAAGCACGATTTTGGCTGCCCGGCAGGGACTGAAAGAGCGCAGAACACGCTGTGTGGCCTGTGCCAGGCTGCAGACCCCAAAGCCCAGGCGACAAGCAGCCGCCGTACCTTGGAAGTGCCCGTGGCACTGGCTGTCGGCGGTGCTCCAGAGCCGCGCCGTGCCGTCCTCGCTGCCCGTCAGCAGCCGCTGCCCGTCGGGGCTCAGGCTCAGCCAGTTGATGCCGCCCTGGTGATCCGTGCAGACCTTCACGGCCGAGCCGCTGTTCCCCATCCCGGCGCAGATCACGGGCGCTCGGCAGCCCGCAGCCCGCGCTCCGCACCTCCGGCCGTGCCCCGCAGACCGACTTGTGCCATTACCTCAACTCCCAGACATCAGCACGGCAGTGCGGGCTCCTGCACACGGACACAAAGGGGGAACGGGGCAGAGCGCGTTAAATCATTTCATCTCCCCATGGTTGCATCGCTTCCTCAGCCGAGATGAAGCCACTGAGCGCCTGTTTCCCAGCAGAACCCCAAGCCCCACGGCGGCTGAGGGGCGCACACGCTGCCCGCCGTGCCCTCTCCACGGGCATCGGGGCACATCCACCGCCTGGGGCCATTGAGCCCGGGCGGCGCTACCGCTACCTGGTGCCCTCGCCGAGGCTGCTGCTTTTTAAGCAATCTTAGAGCTGACTTCGGGCACGCCGCGGAGGCGACACCTCCGAGAGGGGAGCTTGGGCTCAGGCGGCCCCCAAAGCCCCGGGCTGCCGCCATCCCTCCCGCTCGGTCCCCCGGCATCTCGGCACTCACCGCCCCGGGCGCGGCTCCGGCGGAGCGATCCCGCACTCGCTCTACGGGCAGGGGTAACCTCCTCCCGCCGGGGCACCGGAGCCACCGCCGGCCCGAGCACAGGGTCCTCTCAGCCGCCACCGCGGGCCGAGCACAGGGTCCCCCCAGCCGCCTCCGCCCTGCGGGGAGGCGGGAAGGGCTCCCGCCGTGCCCCCTCAGCCCACCCCGGGGCGGGCCCTCACCCCCCGCCCCAGCCCTGCCTCCATTACCTCCCGCTCCGCGTTCGAGCCGCTTCCCCCCGCGGCGGCCGCCTCGCCCCGCCTGCACAACTCCCCCGGTGTGGCCGCTCTGTGCCCGGTCCTCTGCTCCAGAGGTGCCCGGCAGCGCTGCCCCTCCGGGCCGGCCTCCGCCTGCAGAGACCCCCCGTCCCCGGGGCTGCAGCCGCCCCTACCGCGGCTCAGTCTCCCGGCGGGGTGGGAGGGTCTCTCCCGCTGGGGTCTCGTTAACAGCCGGGCGCTGCAGCCGGAGCAGCCCCACAGCGCTCCCGCAGCCGCGGTGTACCCCCAGGGCTCGTCCCGGGGGAGGCGGCGCTTCCTGCGGCACCTTCGCCCCTCAGGACGCCCCAGGACACCGGCATTTCCTCCCTGGCATCTCCGGTGCCTCCCGGGGGACGCAGAGGCTTGTGCTGGCAGCTGGGTTGAGGGAAGCCATCGCCTTTTGTTCCCCTTCTCGCCCCTCTTCCTGGGCGAGCTCCTGCCACGTTTCTCCTCCCCACAGGAGCCCCAAAGCCGCTGTCTCGCTTTGCCCCGACCACTTTTAGGGCTCTTTCTAATCGGTGCAGCCCCTTGCCCTTCCACCCCCTGCCCGCCGTGGGCACGGCTTTGGTGGTGGGCTTTGTGCTGCCACAGACCGCCTGGCCGAGGGCTCTGACAACATGGGCTAAAGGGTTCTGTCCCTTTAGAACACACCCAAACCGTGGTGTAATTAAATGTAGGAAGGCAAAATCCCCTGGACAAAGTGATGTGGAGAGGCTGAGAGCTCGCAGCGAGGCAGCAGCAGGGTCTAACGTGGATCCCCCCCAACAAGTAAAGGGAGCTGCTGCTTATTGTAGCCAAAAACATGCTGGGGTAAATCACAAAACTTACTCTCCTACCTTCTGCCCCATTGGATCAGAAAAGCACCTTTTTGTGTCAAATCCCCAGCCCTCGGTTCCATTTCACACCCTCGGTGCAGTATTGGGGTTCAGCAGGCGCTCGATGACATTAAGGAGGCTCCAGCCCTGCTCTGGCACGAGGTGCCCCAGTGTGCTGGGGGACAGAAATGTGTGTGTTCAATGGATAATTCCCGGGATGTGTTATTTTGCACAGCGCGTTCTGGCAGAGGCCAAACGGGACTAATATGTCACACCCAATGTAAACAAGGAGGGGATCCCCATTCAGCTGCCCGTTGTAGCCATGCAGCCATGGAGAAACTTGCCAGACGGAGCTGTCGGGCTGCGAATTTGGGTTTTGTGAGGGTCAGGGCGAGCCCTGCGGTTTATGGGCCCAAGCCAGCTCTTTTCTGAAGACAAATGTTTCCACACAGCCTTTCTGCATTCAAGAAATGACCGAGAAGTTCTGGTGTGAGATGTAAATTCTGTATTTCTTCCCTCTGAAAATCCCATTATCCGTGAAAAGATATTTTTTTGGACATAGAGGCCTGGGAATCGACTGCTCTCAGGGAGTGTCCCTCACCATCTGCTCCTACATCTGTCAAATCCACTCACAAACCTCTGCCCAGAGTCCTTGCTTGGGAAACTGTAGGATAGATTAGCACTCCTTTTTATTTTCCTGTGTTTCTGTGGTGTGAATGAAAGGAAAAACTCAGAGGGAAGGGATACTCTGTTAAGTTTGAAGCAGGTCTGCGCAATTTAAACCCACACAGTTTAAATCTCAAGGGGAGGCTGAGCTAGAGGGGAAACCCTTGGCCACAGCTCAGCCATGGGAGCAGAGGGTGTGCTGTTCCTCCCCTTGCTCTTTTTAAAGTATTTTCAAGGTTTTATATTATTATTTCAAATTAATATTTCCCTCCTGTGGTGACTAATGAAAACATCTGAGCTTTTGAATATTTTAATGAATATTTATTCATTTTCTTGAGGGCTTTTAAAAATTTTTTTCAGTTGTTTTTATCTGCCTGAATTTTAGGTTGAGTTTTCTTTCTTGTATTTGCGTTCTTGTGGTGCGTTTTTAACTGTAGGACAATGAAAAAAGTAAAAGAAAGTTACCTGCTGCTTGATTTTGCTCCTCAGGGCCAAAATCCTGCAGTTAATCCTCCTTCATTGAGACAGACACATACTTACACAGATGCATGAGCTACTCCTAGAACATCCAGGCAGTGAAAAAACCTTAAGAAAGCTTCTGGATGTTTATGGCTGGATTCACAATACATGATTTGCAGGATCCAGTGGCTGTTGCTAAGTTTGGAGCCAAGTTTAAAGTCTTTAGGCAGTTATCAGAAACAAAGGAAGGATGCAGAGTTTAGATCAGGTACACTGTATTTTGGAAGAGGGATGCCTGTGCCCTTCACTATGGTTTATAAAGGTTCCAAATTCTCCACAATTAAGTAGAACAAATTGAGACTTTTATCTTCAAATCATACCTTCATTCCACCAAAGGGACAATCTGTTCTCACATTTCTGATTCAGCAATAATACAGTACAGGAAGACACTTTAGTTTCCACATACAGAAGACAGTAATGATCAGGTGCAAAATCCTCTGTGAACAACATTATCCCAAATTATCTGTGCTTAGATTCACTTGCCAGACCTTCAGAAACACAGCGTAGGCTTCCAGGCCTTAGCAGTATTTACATCACTATCTGCACTGATATAAATGCTGAAGAACATTTCCCTTGAAAATATTTCAGTAATGCTGCAAATGCATCCAATAATTTTATTGATGTTGTTTGTGGAGGAAGGAACACGGGCAGCTCCTCCATGTCCACCTCCCCCTCCTGGGCCCTTGGGTATCTGGATGGGCTGCAATGATCTTTGATGGACAACAAAGGTTCTTTGTTCAATCAAAGAAGCAGAGCCAATAACACCCCAAAGAAGTCAGCACAGAGAGCTGGACCAAAAACAAAAGGATAAAGTGTGCAGCAATGCAAATTATCTTTCTTAGAAAATTAACCCCTTCCATCATCCCAGCCCCTCCTCCTTCTCTAAAGAAGGGCCTTTCCAGCTGCCAGGGTCTTTTTCATCTATTGCTCTGCTTCAGGCTGTCAACCTCAATCACTTTCAAAATTGCTGATAATTAAGTATTACCTCTTCCTTCACTTTGGAAAATTGCAAAAGCCAACTAACCCTCTTAAAATTACTGTCAGGGACCTGAAATATTCATCATGGCACATCCTGCATGGACATCCAGCCTTGGTTGGTTTTTTGATTCAACCACATCCTTTTAGTCAATGAGAACTACAAACAAAAGCATGTTACATGGTGTCTGCAGAGACAAGCTCCTTCACTGAGCAAGCTACTCTAAGAAAATTTCCCTGCTAAAGTTAAATTTGATTTAAAAATCAATCCAGTTACGCTGGTACAATGTAAATAAAATTTAACCTTAAATAGATTTAAATGTAGCTTCTACTGGTTTGATTTAATCCAAAATATTATGAACATCTAAGTGGTTTCACTTTGCTGCAGAAGTTGACATTGGTGAAGGCAAATTAAGTTGACATGGATTCAATTATCACCATGGAGCAGATCAGCCTTACTCTGAAGTGAGGATGGAAGAGCAAACTGCAGACTTTCAGACTGCAGACCCAAGATGCACAGCTGAACTCAGCAGTGCAGCTCCTTCTGACCCCTCTGCAACTGGCCTCTTTTACAGCCAATACAGTTCTTTCCCTCCCTCTTAAAATGCAGCTTAAAATGCCCCAGGGTGCTCAGAAATCTAGTTTGGGTATAAACATTTACCAAATTCCCCTACAGGACAAAAGATGCTTGGAAACTGTCATTTACACTAGAGTCTCCTGTAATTATATGTAACATTCTTTTGGTTTTTAACCAGATCTGAAACTGTATTTCCAAAACATTTATCTCTGAAAATACCGGTTTTATGAGTTTCCTAACAAGAACACCCCTCTGCAAAACCCATGTACATCCCTGACCACTACTGCTTCACCTGGGTGCCCCTAATCAATGCCAGGAGTCTGAAAGGCCGGGATCTGGAGAACCAGCTGGCATCCAATGACCTAATGAATGGTTAGCTGACAGTAATGTTGCACAAATGGGCTCTTAGCTGACTCCAATGTCAGGCCCTGGTAGCAATGGGAATTTCGCTGTGAACTTGGAGTAGGCAGAGAGAGGGTTGCATTAACTTTCTGCTGTGATGAAGCAATGGCTTAAAAGCACTGCTGCTGCAAAGGCATCTTATCTCCCTGGCTAAGAAAGCAGCTGCAATTTCCTAGAAATTTTTGAGCTGTGACATGCCAGGAAGTGTAAGATGTCACGGCAGCTGTTTCAAAGATCACTGTAAATAGGTTTCTCCCCACACAGTCTGTAGATGACAAGGCCCTTCCATCATGTCACAGAATAGTGGAAACTTTACTCAATAATTTGAAATCACAAATATTTACAAAATTACAAAATAATAGTCAAAAGCTCATTTTACCCTGTTTACTACTTTGATGGGAGCCCTGCTGTTTCTTCCAGACGGTAAGCTGGCCTCTTGCCCAGACCATATATCTCTTATGACAGGCTCCTTAAGGACCAAATCTAAGTGGAAGCCAAAAGAAATATATCTTACTAAGTGACACAAGGGTAACTTTCTGAGTCTGATTCTGAGCCCATTTTAACTGCTTTTGCACGGATACAACTCTGCTGGCTTTAACTGCATTAATCCAGATTTGTACTGATGCAAGCAGAGAGCCCCAGTGCCTTTGACATTGGTACAAAAACAAATTTCCAAAAATGCTGAAGCTGCAGCCAGTGACCCAGGCAGTATTTTAGCAATTGCATTCACATCTGGCCTCTGGAAGATTTCTCAGTTGTTTGTCTGCCTCATTATTAGCAGAGCCAAACCTTGGGCAAGGGGGGAGCAGTCACGATCTCTTACACCTCATTGTTGCTGAGAAAGTTATAGGAACAACTGATACCAAACCCACTGACCACAGAATAATCTTCTACAGCCTTGACTGAGCTTTGTAAGAGACTTTCAG